CCCAGATCTTGGTTTGTCTTCCAAGCTGTTGGTTCGTCTGTATTTCTGCAGAGTGTATCCAACTGCTGAAGGACTGCATCTGCACTTCCTGGCTATCTGGCGGCAGCTGTACCCTTCCTGGCTGAGAATCTTTATCTTCAGGCGTGTTTCCTGCGTTAGGTTCCTTGTTTTAGCCATTTTTGTGTCTGAAGAACTTTCAAATGTGCTGGCTTTATGTAGACACGAAGCTTGGCAACAAAAATTGTGTCTTTTAATAAAAAGAACGACCTTCATCACTGGTACCAAAATGACCCAATACTCAAAATTTCTTATGTATTTTATGGAACCAATCAATTTTAAGTTTTTAATGGCTTTTTTAGGATTTATTTAGTATTTTGGCTGTGACTGTACTAAAAGAAATTGCACTTGAAGACCTAAGAGTGATTATCAATGCAATATTTCACAAATGCATGAGGTGTCCGAAAACTTTTTTCCACCACTGTATATATATGTATATACATATGACATTTTTCGGAAGTAACAGTGCATAATGCAGCTGTTTACGATGGACCTTGGTCATTTGTGTTTGTTTGTTTGTTTGTGTTGTCTCCCCAGGCTCCTATGACCACCAAGGAAAGCGCACTTGCCATGCTCAGTGTGATGTCATCACTCAGCAACAAAGACACTGGGATGCTCCTGAACTGGCAGGGTGTCAGAATGCCCTGGTAGCAGTCACTCTGTCACCCACACCAGGCCTACCACACCCATTGTTATTGCATATAAATAACAAAGACAGTAAGAAAGTAACTGTTTCATTTACAAATGCTTGCACACAGCAAGCCAGAAATGAAAACCTAATGTTCAAAATCTTAAATATAGTATAAAGCCTCTATGTTTGCAACAACAGCAGCTTGAAAGCTAACCTGAAAGAGCTGAAAAGCTTTTTTGATTGACCAGATCTTTGAAACATTGAGAAACAGCTGATTTAAGTTGTGTTGCAGTAAATCCACCAACTCCTGCTGATTCAAATGTCAATCAGAGACACACCCATGTTTTGAAGTTCTTTTAATTGCATGGACTTAAAGTATACAGTAATGGTAAACCGTTTTTTGATCGATTTTGTCCAGTATGGATACAGAGGAACGCAGAAAACATATAGATTAGAACAGCACTGTACATTTTTGTGTTTTCCCTTCCGTGTCTTTTTTACTGTATTTGTGTATTTCATTTACACATTCAGAACCAAAGGCCTGGCACTGGCAGTAATTTCATGTTGCTAATAAAGCTTTTGCTGCAACTAGTCTGTCACATCCTGTTTGTCTCCACTGTACATTCTATAAGAACATAATGACTCATTTACTTTTATGTTACCAAAAATGCTTACATTCAACACTCAACCAAATATCTAGAGAGCTTTTCAGTAAAAGGAACAAACAAACACACAAAAAATAGAATGTCTATTGTATGCAGGTGGAAAAAGTAATGCAGCTTTTTAATGCCATCAACTGTTAGTACTTTGAAAGTGGTTGTGCTATGATTGACTGTATCTTCCTCTTGGATAGAAAATGTGCTAGTGATTGAAAAGAATAATTTGATATTAGGTTGGGCTTACAGTGTTTGGATGGAGTTAAGGCCTTTGTTGTGCCCAAAACATATACACAACAACTCTGAATCTTCTGTCCAGGGAGGTGTGGGAGGTGGATGGGCCCAACAAATGACTTTCACCCAGGAGTCTGCTGTTTTCTTCCTGTATAAAGATAATTAATGTAAAAACAAGGTTTTTATTATTCATTTTTATTATTTCACACACACATCATAATATGAAATACAGTACATGCTGCATACAGACATTACAGTAATTTGATGTGTGAAAGAGTCACCCCAAGGAAGCTATTTAAAGCTTATAATAGGGGGCCCGGGGGCCCACAAATAACAGACAGGATACTGGCCAGATATCCTTAGGATACAACAACATACAAACAGACATAAAATAGACACACAATAGACAGTCTCAGTGTTCTGGTTACATTAGATCAGTCAGTACAATCATTGTACAATAACAAATTTATACAACGTTAGTCGAGAGAAATAGATAATGTACAAGTGACATTCATATGTAAGATTCTTAATATAATCAGTGAATTAAATATACATTGATAGGAGTTGCATTTTTAGTTTTTCCTTGAAGATGGAGATGGATTGTGACATTTTAACTTCTCATCAAGCTCATTCCAAATCTGTGGTCCTCTGCACACAATACTAAAGTTGGTACATTTTAACCTTCATTATTTTCCAGTGATTTTGTTTTTGTTCCTGGTGGTATAGGTGTGCATAGGATGGAAGATTGGAATGAGGTCACATAGTTTATGGTTTAGTTTGTGGACAATTTGGTACATTACACAAGCATTCTGGAGGTAATTGTACTCAGCAAGCCTCAGAAGATTGTGGCGGTGGAAAAGTATTCTTGTGGGAGCATTAAACTCAGACCATGATAAGGCACATATGACTTTTTTTTGGAGTATCTCTAGCTTTTGTAAGTAAGTTGGAAATGTGTTACACCATATGATGTTGCAGTATTGTAAATGAGGCTCAAACAAGGTTTTATATAGGGTGGGAAGTGCAGGAAGTGGTAGAAAATGTCTCAACTTAAAAACAAAGCAGCATATTTAGACAGTTTTTTGTGAGATCTTCAATGTGACCTTTAAAATTAAGAGATTCATTGATGAGGATCCCCAGGAATTTTGTAGAGCCGACTCTTACAATATTCTGTCCATTTATTTTTGGACAGATTTGCTTAATGTCAGGTTTTGTTTTGTTTTTGGAACGGAACACAATGTAGTTTTACTGATGTTAAGGGAAAGTTTGTTGCACCTAAACCAGGTGTCTATTTTAATTAACTCACTATTTATGATTTGTTCAAGCATATTTGGGTTTTTGTGGGAAAAAAAACAGATTTATATCATCGGCAAATAATACTTTATGTAGTACAGATGAGGAACTAACAAAGTCATTTATATACAAGATGAAGAGAAGCGGCCCTAAAATGTAACCCTGGGGAACCCCATGATTGATGGATTGGTTTGATGATTTATGGTTATTTACATTAACATATTGGTGTCTTCCAGACAGATAACTATGAAACCAGTCTAGTGCTAGGCCTCTAATACCATAGTGTTGCAATTTGTTGATTAGGATGTCACTCTTGATGGTATCAAATGCTTTAGATAAGTCCAAAAAGATGCCAATACCATAGTCGCCTTTATCAATTGCATCATTGATTTTATCAGTTAGATCCAGTACTGCCATATATGTAGTATTTTTCTTCCTGAATCCATACTGGGATGGGACTATGACATTTAGCTTATCCAGATAGCTGTTAAGTCTATTGTAGACTACTCTTTCCAGAACCTTGGAGAGAGTAGGCAGGATGGAAATTGGACTGTAGTTGCTCAGGTCGTTCTTATCACCAGATTTAAAAACTGGTGTAACTCTTGCAATTTTCGCCGTTTGCGGCACTACTCCGGAAAGTAGAGACAAATTGATGCAGTCGGTAAGAGGTGCAGTAATTACGTTGGTAATGCCTTTCAGGATTTTACTGGAGATTTCATCAGTTCCAGCTGAATTCAAACTGTTCATATTCATAATTATTTTATGAAAATGAAAACCACCATTGAAAGGGTATTTTGTAAAAGGGTTTATGCATCATTTGATGCAACATTTGATGAGTTGGGATGAGAGCGCATTGCAAATGCATGTTGCTGACAGAGACTGGTGACAGCCAGGAAGGTAACTCCAGTGGAGAGAAGCAAGGGTGCAAATGTGTCATTTTATAATGATAATAATAATAATCTTTATTTATAAAGCATTTTTCAAAACAGAGTTACAAAGTGCCTTACATGTCAACAATTAAAATCAGGAAATGCTCTTTGATAAAAGCATGCTTTAAGTAGGGACTTAAAAGAGATCACTGACTCGGCTGACGTGATTTCCTTGCGCAGATTGTTCCAGAGCCTCAGAACCCTGACAGCAAACACTTTGGAGGCCTTTGGAACAGACAAACGACCTTTGCTGTCTGAGGACCTCAAAGTACATCCTGGCGTGTACAGTACTAAGAGGTCAGAGACATAGCTGGGAGAGAGACCATGAAGAGTCTTAAAAGTGATCAGTAAAATCTTAAAATCTATTTTAAAACATACTGGGAGCCAGTGTAGAGGGGCTAAAACTGGAGTGTTGTGATCATGTTGGTTCTAGTTAAAAGCCTGGCAGCTGAATCTGTACAGTGTGGAGTCAATTCATAGATTTTTGATTCAGGCAAGAAAAAAGGCTGTGCAGAAATACAGGTGTGATGAGATGAAGGTGTGTAAAATTGTATCTGTGTCTTAAAAAGGATGTGTTCTATACGACATCTATTGCACGTCTGTCCGTCCTGGAAGAGGGATCCCTCCTCAGTTGCTCTTCCTGAGGTTTCTACCGTTTTTTTTCCCCAGTTAAAGGGTTTTTTTGGGGAGTTTTTCCTTATCCACTGTGAGGGTCCAAAGGACAGAGGGATGTCGTATGCTGTAAAGCCCTGTGAGGCAAATTGTGATTTGTGATATTGGGCTTTATAAATAAATAATAACAAATAATAATAATAATAAAATAAATTGATTGATTGATTGATTAAAAAGTTAAAATGGACTGTATTTTTGAAATATTTCTGAGATGAGGAAAAGATGATTGCACAAGCTTTGTGACATGCTGCTCAAAACTTAAACTACTGTCAAACCAGACTCCAAGTTTTCTTCTTGCAACAGGTTTGATATTATCCATTGTTATTTTGTCATTGATTGCAAATTCTCAAAACCAATAGAACCATAAAATGCATCAGACTCAAGGTTTCTGTGCATCACAATTTTTGTCAGATGTTGGATTAAAATTAGCACATGAAAAAAACAGACTTGATATGCAAAGGCCTTGTATGTAGAGAATGTAGAGAAAATTAACTATTTGGCTGACTCTGTGATGTAGGTGTGTTGCTGTCTTAAGAGTTTAGAAAAAAAAGTCCTTGTAAAGGCTTTTCAGTAATCTGAAAAAAAAGCTGTTTAAGAAATATTACACAAGGACAAGTGCTGTTGTAGCTACTGTATATCAACATGACCTCGAGTATGATATTGCTTTTATACAACAGTTCAATAGGCACCATTTATTGACAGTAAAAAGTAGCAACAGCTTATGATTTGCCTGTTTATTTAGTGATTCATTTAGCTCCGCCAACACAAATAGTTTGGCAACTGGACTAGGACTGAGCTGTTGCAAAGCAACACAAACAGTCCTGCACACTAGCTTGCTAGTTTGTGTAAACTAGATCGACATTTTTCACGGAGTACCAGTGCTCCAGCAGCTGTCAATTACCTTGTTAGGCTGAGTTGAAGGATCAGGGAAGAGAGAGGGGAGGGGGTAAAGGGGATATTTTGCTAACTTTGGCTCATGTTTGGTATTTCTTCAGTTTATCAGGTATTTTTATTAATCTGTACTAGTGCTTAAATCATTTGCATTGTGTATGTTAAGTATAAATAATGTTAAATTGTAAACATATGTTTTAAAGTTAATGTGGGAGTGTCAGTGAGCGCGTTTACATGCACACTAATAAACCGATCATTATCTGATTTCTGGAGTTACCTGATTATTCAAGTGGTCATGTAAACAGCATAATCCGATAGGCTTTATCAGATAAAAGCCATTATCTGATTATGAGAAATCAGATAAACACATCTACCTTTTTCCCCAATAGTGAGATTATTCGGTGCATGTATACCCTTTAATCTGGTTTCTTTTGGGTTTTGCTATTTTGTACTCCCACTCCACTACATTTTAGAGGGAAATATTGTACTTTCTACTCCACTACGTTAATCTGACAGCTTGTGTTTCCTTTCAGATAAAGATTTTACATAAAATAATTTATTTTTATATTCTCAGTGTTTAAATTGTCACTTTTATTTTATCTTACTTATATGTTATGCACTTTGTGTGACAAGTTTATATACAATACACTTGTATATTGCACTTTGCAGTACTTTTACTACGAATCTATTCAAAGTAGGGATGGGCATCAATTTTCGATTATCGATGATTGACTGTTAAGGCTTTTGATCGATCACAAATAATTTTGATCGATAGTCACAGTGTTTCCCCTACAATGCCTGGCATAGGTCCGGCGAGCCGCCATGCCAACGATACCCCCCGCCCGGCGAGTCGCCGTGCCAACGAGACCCTTCTGCCTGGCGAGCCGCCATGACAACGAGACCCCCCACCCGGCGAGTCGCCGTGCCAACGAGACCCTTCCGCCCAGCGAGCACGGCGGTTCAACGGACCTACGAGACCCCCCGCCGGACCTATGCCAGGCAAAAAATCAGAAACAGACGGAGGCTCTCATCGCTCTCCAAAGCCTCGGCGGCTTCCCGTGAGGCCTCTGAAAACACTACGCAATTGAAAGACGGAGGTTTTGCTGAAAACTGAAGCCTGTAACTATGGCTGGCAATGGTTGTAAACACCCAGGGGCGAACTGCGCATGCGCACCATTCTTCCTCTTTGGCCTGGGGGGTTGAAGCTCAAAACTGGGGCAGATGCGCATTCTTGCGGCGACAGTCAGCACTGCACTCTTTAGTTTTCTCTCTTTTGAAATACTCGCTTATCAATTAATCGATAATTGATCGTTAATTTTTTTGATGATCGAATAATACATTTTGATCGTTTGCCCATCCCTAATCCAAAGTAAGTAAAATTGGCTCCACATTGATAAACTACACATTAAAATGCTCTCACATGTATTTGTTAATGATAAAACAAACAGTACTGTAAGAATATAAGCTGTCAGCATGATGAGTGCTTTATTTTGCAAATATATGACTTGCGTACTATTCAAGTGTTACCTTCTTAACCCTTCCTCTCCGAACCGTAGTTGGGAGCTGGTTTTTAATGTTTTGGCTCGTTGCTGGTAACTGGCGTCTTAAGAGTCCGGGCCAAAGTGTGGGAAGGAAGGAGGATGAAGTGGCTTCTTTCGTGCAAAACCGCACATTTAATTCCTTACGTCGGCAAAAGCAGAATACAACACCGTTTCTGGTCAAACTCTGTCTGGACACTGTTGTGGACAAAACACTTGGACATTAACATGAGTTAACTCTTCTTCGTACGTCTGCCACTGTGTATGTTTTCCTCAACTCTCTGTTTTTCCTTCCTGCACCTCTACGTCACACACATGCGCCGGCCATGGCCTTAAAGGGACAGGGCTGGCCGGTGACACTAGGTTTTTCAAGGATATGAGTAACAGGAAGTTTGAGTTTTATGTCATGTACTCGGGGAGAAATCCAACTGAAGGACTGAATCATGTAAACCAGGTTTTTCTGATTATCACATTATTGAAGTACATGTAAACGCGTCAAATCAGATTATTACCATTACCTGATTATTCCCAGTTATCTGATTATTGTGCGCATGTAAACGTGCTCAGTGATTTCACTGGTGTGGGAGGAGACTCAGGGTAGAAAAACCAGGTGAGAGATCAGTGTAGAGTGTGTGAAGGAGGGGGACAGGTAGTGTCTCCTTTACTCTGCTGCTGCAATCACTGGAATCAGCTGCACCTGTGCAACTCCTTTGTTACCCAGCAGTCTGCTGCATGTTTGGTGAGAGATGTGGGTCTTTTTGTACTCTGTGTATGGACTCCAGTAAAAATCAGAACCAAAAATCCCTGTTTGTCTCATGCTTTCCATTCCTCCATCATGCTCTACACCTTCATGCCATTGGTTTATCCTACAGCTACATCTGTGTCTCCATTTATTTTACGACCTGTGAAATAAGCCTGTTGACAGTCAGTTTGTTGGAATATGTATGATGCTGATGAGTTACTGGTTTAATCAGCATGTTGGGTTATCGTCTGATGACATATGATCATAGATCTACAGGGAAGTATTCAGACTTCTCTCCATTCCTTCGTCCTTTTCTGACCATTCATTATTTAACTCAGATGTTATTTGGGGTAATGTTTCATTTTGTGGTGCAAAGTTTGTTACGATGACCCTTAATGTCGTCTGATTAATTACCTGAGACCACCTATAAAGCCGAGTGATACATGCATAGTTAAAAGTTCCAGTGCTGTTATACTGTATATAAATACTCATGGAATACCTCTTGTCCAGTCGGATTGCTCGGTCAGAACTAACTGTTGTATAAAAAAGCTTTTTAGCTAAATGTTGTCTCTAACCTTGGCTGGAAAAAAATACATGAGGAAAAACACCTGAAGTCACATTTTGACATTAACATTTTTGGAAGATACCCTCCTGTTTTGTCTAAAGAGAGCAAAGATAAGTTTCACTTTCAGTTCAGTTTTAAAAAGTGAGGGGTTTTTTTTAGTGAAAACGCACGTGTTTGGGAAGTACTGGACAAATGTGATTTGGATTACACTGCATGAATTATGTGAGAGTTTGTAAATGGATATTTTGATATAGTTTTGCTGTGACATGGTCCCCAATCAATCAATATGTTCATGTTTTCTGTGGAGGCATGCAAGAAAAACAGTTTTCTTGATGAATTCAGACTAATACAGCATGACTAACTCGTTTACAAATAGTTATTGTGGGTGAAGTATTCATTTTATTTTTATTTTATTTTATATACTTTATTAATCCCCCTGAGGGGAAATTCAATTTTTTCACTCTTTTTGTCATTAACACACAGGTCCATCTTAATACTTACATGGCCATATGTGTGTTACTGTGTTGAGAGTTCTCTGTAAAGACTCCACTATGATTGATGGTGAAAAGAAGCACAGCCCTGACTCAGCAGTCTGAGTTAGACAAAACAGGAGGGTATCTTCCAAAGTCACAGACGTTGTAGGATTAATTTTTCTCTTTGTGAGGGATACATCCTGGAAGTCCACACACGTTTGTTACCAGAGAACAACATCAGCAGTACACCTACTTACAACTGCTAGAAATAAAATAACTACTTGAATTGTCCAACTCCGTCTGATGTAGCTCCACATTCACTTCAGCTGAACTTTAGAATGCATTTTTGCACATCTCTTACAATGTAGTCACATCAGGAGGTGGTCAGTTCACAGACAGTATGGACAGCGACAAAGAATTCTTTCGACATAAATGTGGGCAGTGTGCATATCGCAGTAGGATAGACCTTAGAAATGACCCGTTCAGTGGCACTGAGATTAAATTTCTTTTTTCTTTTTTTTTGCCTTATAGCATAAAATGTTTCATGTTCAAACAATATAAGTAATCACGCAATAACGTTAAACAGTTTTATCACAAAATATCACTTTATATCATTAAACAATCTGTTATAACAATATAAGTCATCATTCTATAATGTGGAATGTTTTATGTTATAACAATAAATTATTGAATATTATAACAAGATAAATAGTGCATTGATATAAAAGTAAAATATGTTGTTGAAATATGAAAAAAAAATCTTGTTATAACAACAAACTTTCCATGTTATTACTTGAAAGGGCTCATTTTTTTCTTGCGTGACAGCAATACACTTCTGTAGTATTATAGTTAAGTTAGGAATATTTTAGCACAAGGTTAGTGTGTACAAAGGCTGTTGTCACTGTTAATTTAATGAAAAACTTGCTAACACTTTATCTCCCAAACAGAGGGAGCATACAGTGTGATGGTGAAGTTTAGTGATTACAGTGTTATCCAGCGTAATCTCCACAAGTGGCCTCTAGTGAGCAGTAATAATTAAAGAAGTGACGGTCTGACATTTCAGATGTAAAGGAGATTTCACTGTTTCCACATCAGGACATTTCACAGGTGATTGAATTTGATGTCAATGTGGATTCACTTGTGTAGGCTGAAGGACTTTGGTGAAACATGTCTTCATTCATTCAGAGTCTGTCTGGATGAACCAGCAACCAAAATTCAATTCAGCAACATGTTGTATTAGCAACATGAAATTTCTACATCAGTGTATTTTTACAATGTTAAATCTTTTTATGAAGTTAAATCGAAGGCTGACGAAGTGTTTGAGTGTCTTTAACACACATTTGTGACATTTTTACTGGTGTTCAGTGAAGTTCAGCGGGGAAAGGTGTGAAACCCTCAACTGGTAAACTGGTTTGTGGGATTTGCTTATACAGTAAACTGGCAGCCATAATATTTTTTAGCACTCTCTAGGTTTAATTTTGGTTTAATAAATTCTTTAATTTAGAAGTTGAAAAGTTTAATGTGGTTAATTGTTATGATGTGACTTGAGAGGGAGTTGAAAGGTGCATCACAAGTGAGAACACACACAGTTTTAGAGTTTTTATTCCTTCACAAAAGTAGACAGTCACCAAGTCAAGGGTCAGGGACAGGTAATATTACTATTGAGTGTAGGTAAATTAATCTGGGTGCTGTTCTTGAGGCCCATAGAGTCAGAACAGAGTTACACTATAATCAAGATTTTGAAGATAAGTTTTGTATGTAAAGAAAAATGAAGCATTTTATACAATTGGCTGCATCTTCTGTGAAAACAACATGCAAATGGTTTGGTCCACAACAGACAGATGTTGTCCCTGATTGTGTTAAGAGTTTTCAAAATATGGATAATAGAGATTGTACAAAGATGTATCACCAGGTATACTGTCTCTGTTATGTATATACAATAAAGATGAGTGGTAGGCCTGGTGTGAGTGACAGGGTGACTGCTACCAGGGGATTCTGACACCCTCCCAGTCCAGAAGCATCCCACAGTCTTTGTTGCTGAGTGATGACATCAGACTAATCAGGCTTTGTGCGCTTTCCTTGGTGGTCATAGGAGCCTGGGGAGACAAAGCAAACAAGGATAGCTACATTATTCATTTCCTCACCTTTACTTGAGAATCAGGTGAAAACAGGGGCATCACAGTGAGGCAACCTGTGGAACTAACTACCAAAGGGCTCCAACAGGGAATTCCAAAGCTTATCATGGTAAATATACATGATTATAGAGCGTGCACTATCACCTGCATAGCAGAGAGTAAGGGATAGATTTGTAGGGTGTATATTATTCTGCATAAAGGTAATGGTATTTCTGTATATAGGTACTGGCTGTGGTCTCAAGCTGGGATAAAGTACTTTGTAGTATTTCTACTTTATTTCCTCTCTCTGTGTATTATTGTTTGCTCATATGTACGTAGATTTTGCTATAATATTCATGCATTGAAATTTTGAAGTTTTTAACTTTATACCATGGTTGATACATATTTTTCAACTTCATGATTGATGTAATTGTATTGTTTTTGTATACTCTGATGTGTTTTCTGTTTGAGTCTTAGAGAAAAAATGAAATTGGTCATGTGACCAGCAAGCATTTAAACACACCTGTGAATGCTCAGGTCAGACCTGAGGTGAACCTGAAACGCGTTGTTCCCTCAAATAAATTATAGCTAGTAAAGTCTATGTCAGTGTGCGGAGGATTTGTTTGTCAAGCTGATTACACACGTTCCTGCTGCCTACCAGCACCTGACTACCTGTGGCTGTGCAAGGAGATTTCATTGATTCCAGTATACACGATTATAGGTTGAGTTATAGTGTGTCAATCTTTTTTGTTCATTTGTTTCTAAAAAAAACCCACTGTAACCAGAGCTTGGAAGACAGTAATATGCCTCTAGATGTGTTTATTGCACTGATGCTGTGATAAAAATCTTTAGCTGATAATGCGGTATGAACAGTTTATTGATGATTTATCTCCCATAGGCAGACGTTTCTCCACAGCACTGTGTTGGTGCTAGGGTCTGGAAGCACATATCGTCATTCTGCTGCCAGGGAATAAACGCTCTGGCTTGTTTGTATTTCTTTAAACCAAGCATGTTGAGTACTGCTAAGCCCAGAATGCAGCAACAAAAGAGTGTCGTGGGAAGTTGTTTTTGTGGAACATTTGTACATGGTGAGGCGAGCAGTGTCATTAAAGTGCCTAATTCTCCTGATAACTCCCCATCCTGATAATGTGAGGTCAGCATTCTGTTAAGCTCTCTGTAACAGGAGAACTTGTCTTGACAGACTCCTTCAGCCAATCAGTGGTAAAACAACAATGAACAATGGATTTGTACTGGGAAACAATATAGCGACAAATTTACCATCAGGGTAAATGTATTCAAGCAGATTATATTTCATTCCCATGCATGCTGCGCAGAATAATCACAATCCACAGCTCCTTTGCTAAGTCTCTACCCCTCTCTTCTTTTGCCCAGCAGCACTGCACAGGCACCAGCAAGGCCTGCAGCAGGCGTGGAGCAAGCAATGGGGAGGATGTTGCTGAGCACAGGCTGTTATCACAAATTTTTGTGTTTTTCATACGTTCTCCTGATGCGATCACATGACCAATGCCAAAGGAAGCAGTCCCGTGCACTTGTAAGGAGGCAGGTTGGGGTGGTGGTTGGGTCACAAAAAAATCGGATTTTCGCCCGGAACTTTCCCCTGGAGTTGCGTGTTTGGATCTGTGTGAACTTTCAGTGAACTTTGAATCATTTTAAAGTACGCCCTCTTCATGTTGAAGACGTAACATTATTCATCGGGGCACAAATTCATACCGTATGAACCATTCTATGAGAATATTTTGTTTTCAGGCAGGTGAGGGAGAAAGCTCCACTTTCACAAAGAGAAGTTGCTGCAAAAAGCAAAATATATTGGATTCATGTCAATGAATCTGCAGTAACTGTGAGGACCCCCTAGAGGTCTCCAACCCCCTGTTGAAGACCCAGGGGCTAGATGAAAGTCAGAGGAGCACCAAAGACTTCAGGTTTCTTCCTCTGGGGACCATGACTGTGTGCAAAATGTCACTGCAGTAAGTAGTTGCTGTGATGTCTCAGTCAGAACCGAAGGTGAGTTAACTTTATTTACGCTTAGTAGTTTAACCCGGACTCTGAACCCTGAAGCATTTAAGCACTTTACAATTGTACTACACTAAGCACTTTACTTGTGTGTTGTTTTTTTAATTTTGTGTTTTATCTGTGTTTGAATGAATATCTGTGACATGTGCTGCCTGTAAAACTACCTTCATGCTCCTTTTAAATTGCCCCCCGGGGACGAATAAAGTGTTTTTGAATTGAATTGAATTGAATTAATCTACCACATTAGATCATTTTTTTATAAATATATCAGATGTCTTGATTATAAAAGATGAATCTCCAGAGTAACTCGTAACTACAAGCACCAAATAAAGGTGGCTGAGTAGAAGCAGAGAGTAACAACAAATGGAAACACTCAAGCAAAGTACAAGTACCTCAAAATAGTAGCCTATTTCAGCACAGTATTTAAATATGTTAATGTACTTTGTTACCTTCCTCACAGAGTGAGCTGCTCTGTAAAGAGTTGGGCTAGTCCAACCAGACAGCAGGTTCACATTACTGAATCTGTTATGCTAATGTATTTTAGTTGATACAAACCTGCTGAAACTACCTTCATGTATTTAAAGGGTCTGCAGTATCTAACCTCTCGATCACCTCACCTCCTCTCCTCCCATCTCAGTTCGGACCCAGCCAGGGTGGATTGCTGTCACTAGTATGTTGTAACTCTTGAAGTCCTCAGCTTGACAGCGAGTCAGCATGTTCAGTGCTGCCTGGAGACCAACAACAGATAGGACAGAGGCATTGTTTATACGTATTACACTAATCTTTAGCAAAATTTACCCATGGATACAGGTTTCTGAAGCCATTCACATGAATATGAATTAAAGCAGATGATACTGTGTGTTAATGACTGCACATCTAATTCAACTCTGGTCATACTTATTATTGTATTATTACAAATTTGTATGTAGTGCAGTAGCATTCAGTGATACCCCACAATGATGACAGCAGAGTTTATTACAGAGTAGAGTGCTACTTTAAATACCCACCCTCTGCGTGTTAGTGACGGGGCACCCTTTAGCGTATCTAAAGCCCTGTTACCACCAAGCAGTACAGTACAGTTCAGCTCAGTTCGGAACCCTTTTTTTCTGTTTCCACTGTGAAAAGTTGTGGATGGTACCGATGGAACCGTACCCAACCATTACCATTTTTGGTACCCCTTCTGTTGGGGTACCTAGCACACAGATCTGGTACCAAAAGGTGGAGCTATGAACACTGCAGTCTGTTGATTGGTCAGTAGCGGATGGTCAGTCTGCTCAGGGCTGAGTTGTGGCTGGTTGGAACAGTGTCCCCAGGTGTATGTCATTAGCCTTCAGCAGCGTGAGGGGGTTTCAGGGTACTGTGATCATTTTGGCACTCTTTAATGTTGTTGCACAATTTGACAAACATCTTCCAGCCAAGTTAGATATGGCATCTTAACACCTGCTTGCCAGTAGATCAGAATCTTATTTTTACTCATTCATGCCTATTGATAGACTACAAATTAATTAGTTGGCTTCAAATGAAGGTTTACTGAGCCAGAATAAGTAAATACACTGATGTGTGTTTAGAGCCTTTAAAATTGTAGGTGTTATGTGGAGTGTCTGTAAGGGCGTTTACGATGAGTTGTATGTGACTACACAGATAATCCTCCTAAAATGTCCTTTTGCAGGAAATGCCCTCTCCTGGGTCTGTTATTGCTCTCCATCTGTAAACTCTGTTTGGAGCATTTTCTCCACACACACAGCTTTGATTAGTATGCTGATGGCACTCAGGTATGTCTTTCTGACATTAACGTGTAGCACAAAACAGGAGAGGAACGAGTAGAGCTTGTTACAAGAATGTTGGCTTCATTCCACTTCCACAGTATCATAGTAAACCATGCACACCTGTACAAGTTTTGTAGATTGATTCTAAAATGCTCAGGTAAACAGTGATGTGCAGTGCACAGTTTGTACAGAATAAAAACTATCTTCATAGTTTAATTTTTAATCAATAATAATGAGAATGAAAGGGTGTCAATGTCTTTAATACATGCGACTAATTAATTTGTAAATCAGCAGTTTTAAATATTGTCCATTGAAGCATTTTTCAATTATGACAGTTTTAATATACTATGCATTTAGTTTATAGGTGTGTGTGTTAAAGACAGCCAGGCCTTTATCATTTGTGCATAATGCATGGTCGGAGACAGTACTAAATGTGCTGGCAGAGTAGGAACAAAGTCAGGTAAGAAAATATAACATTTCTATTAAAACATCCATATGCACGGTTTAAGCACAGATTCGTGGGTACACATTGTTTGTGAATGAGGCCCAATGTTCTTTATAAAGCAAGTGTATCTGTGTGGGAGCAGTGCATTCGTGCAATCTATAAAAGTGCATTTTAGCATTACGTTGACAGATAAACCTCAGAGTAAATACTGTATAACTAAACATTTTAATGTACATACATAT